AATCATGGTCAGGAAACTGAACATTATTAAATCTCTGGATTGGCTATGGTCATGAGCTCTGGGTAGTGACTGACAGAATATCACATTTATCAAAAGGATTTTTGCTTTCAACATTTCTCAAACTGATCTACTGCTGCTGTTTTGTTACTGCTGTACTTGATGATTGTATTATGTAATTTCTAGATAATAACATAATCAGCATACTGTTTGTATACACTGCATCTGTACTGTTTTCATTTAAATCCTTTCTTTGCTGCATCCCAAAAAAGTGGTTAACCACCATTCGTGGCTGATATGAATTAAGTTTAAAGCTGGCCTTTAAAGAGTGACAGCTCATCCTTCTCTGGAAATCTTCTGAAACAAATTTCCTAACACTTTGACCACCAAGAAGAATTCATAGCTTACCCACATTTTTATGGAGCACTGGACTAGCAATGAGAATACAGTAGAGAAACCATGTCTGCAGATATGTACAGTGATGCTCGGCCCACTGACACAGAAACTGTCTTCAACTTCCTCACCCTGCTGTTTTTAAATGTATTTAAAGATTTAATACCTCAGTGGTTGGCCTCTGTCACACCACCCATCTATTTATCCATCCATCCAACAGCAGTGCTTCTCTACTTCCTTCCTCTCCTCTCTTATTTCTACTGAAATGTATGATTCCAGTGAATAATTTCCTGTGAGATGTTGGTGAAGATTCTCATTCATCCAGGTCATGGTAATCCTAAGTGCTATATCGAAGGCAACTGGACTTGCTCCAGTTTCTTGAAGACGTTTCACCTCTCATCCAAGAGGCTTCTTCAGTTCAAACTTACTGGTGGGGAGTCATAGGCTTTAAACTCTGTGTGGGTTAACCAGGCTGTAAAATTCCCCATGTAAAAAGAAACAAACAAAAAAAAACTATATAGAAATGAATGATATAGCAGGATAGGTTTTCCAGTGAGAAAAACGCTGTCTTGACTTTGAGACTATCTTTACAGAGGAGCTGAGTACTGATAAAGAGCTTTGTCACATGGTGCAACTTAAAAGGACATTGTCTGCTGTACAGATTGTTGAGCCCCTTGAGGCAAATTTTTGATGTAAGGCATATGGATATACAGTATAAATAAAAGTGATTTAACTTGACTTTGTTAAGATTTGCTGTTTGTCTTTTGCTGTATGTCTATTAGTGTGTAAGTTGATTGAGGGAAGCAAAAAACAAAGGCAAATTCCTTTCGTTTTTACATTTCAGGCATCATCCCAGTTGCCAGAATAAGATGTTGGTATTGCACTTTTCTGTAAATTACAGATTTGTTACATTTGTACTTTTCATATGTATCATATCAACATTTGGAGGGAAGATGGATGGGGTGTCGCCTCGACTAGATACCTGTCAAGCTGCAGCTGCTTTGTAGCCCCTAAACACGGGTGTTTTTTAATGGCCCGCTGCTGTATTTGCACCGGCTATAGTGCCGTGAAAAGCATGCATTAAGAGCGTTCTTTTTACAGAGACATCGCCAATTTCCGGCCAGGATTCCCTACCAAAAGTCAAAGCCAAAACATGATCTTTTCCTAACCAAATTCACATGGGTTTTACACCTAAACCTAACCACATGTAGAGTACAGTGTTGTTGAAACATAAAGATACAAAGTTTAAATGTGTGTAACATGATAATGTGAAAATGTAATGTATTTATGGTTTGCAGAAACATACTATGCCAAGATTTATTCTGGTGATTGGGTTGTAACTAATAAAGCTGATTCTAATGCAAAGAGACAATGCTTCAAACATGGATGTTGCTACAAAGAGAAGCTATAAATTCTAAAACATGGATGCTTCACACACATCTTCAGTGCGGCAGCACAGAAGGTCTGTGTGTATACAATGAGTACTGTGGTGAAGGTGGGCACCAAAGATTTGTTTTACAATTCAGTATCCGACCAAATGTCTCCCCTCCTGGTCCTGAATTATAATGTTAGATGATGGCAATAAAAGTGTTTTTGCATAACATTATGATGTCATAGTGAAGTTGACCTTTGACATTTTGGATATAATATTTTTATCCGATTTATCTTAGTTTATTCTGTTCGACATTTGAGTGAAATTTTGACATAATTAGCAAATGGATTCTTGAGTTACAGACAAAACGTGTTTTGTGAGGTGACCGTGATCTTTGAACACCAAAATCTGATCAGTTCATCCTTGAGTCTAAGTAGACATCTGTGCCAGATATAATCAAAATACCTCCGGGTGTTCTTGAGATAACTTGTTCACTAGAATGGGACGGATGTGAGGTTACAGTGACCTTGACCATTGACCACCAAAATCTGATTACTTCATCTTTGATGCCAAGTGGACATTTGTGCAAAATTTGAAAAAAAGTCCCTCAAAGCTTTCCTGAGATATTGTGTTCACGAGAACCCGCCAGTCTGAAAACATAAAGGCTCTGCCCTCGGCTGTCGCCGGCATGGAGGCATAAAAAAGAAAGAAACAAACTGTCTGGAGCATCTGACATACTTTGTGTTACAGAGTTGAATCATTTGCCTTAAGCAGCTAATACACTGCCTGGATACAGCCTGTACATACACTATACAGCACCACACATGCCATTCCAGGAACATCCTCCGGCCAATTTCATGCTTATAAGCATTCAAGGGCGTTCAGTCTCTTGACGCGTTTCGGGCGTGACGTACCACACTACATTTGCACAAAGACTGTATTCTTGCATTGTAATTCTACGACTGTCTTATGTAACAGCAGGTTGACCTCTGTCTGTGGGTGCCGGCATCCATGACCTTTTCCTCTACAGCGCTTTATATTGATATTATGAAAGAGATGCTTGCCATTGGCATGAGTGAAAATGCGAAGATGATACAATAGTGCACTGTCTCTTGGAGCTAATGATTTCGAGCGTCATTGGAGCTGTGAAAAGAACTTTCACATCCGTTCTTGTTGTCTTAGGATTCAAAGGGACTTAGTAGTGTTTGAGTGAAGGTGTGAACGTCAGCCTTAACCCCATCTGCATCACCAACCAAAATCTGATATTTTGTCATCTTCCGTGTAATTCTCACATTCAGTGGCTGTTCACGACATTCGTGGCCAACTGAAAAAGCTGCAAACCTTACTAACAGCACAGTGCTCACTGAGACTGGTTGGACACCTCTCAAGTACGACCACGTAGGTCATACACCACAAATGCAGAAATAATGACTCATATTTACTCGGAAGTCAGGCAATGTAGTATAAAGAGCAACAAAGTCTGCTTACCATTGGAGGGTGGGTGGATAGGTCAAGCAAACTCAGGACTTTAATATAGAGACCAGTGTTTCTGTCCTAAGTCAGACCAAAAGTCAACGTTAAGTTGTTTTAACAATATAACGTAGGTAGTCGATGTACATCACATTACTTTAGTATCAAACATACTTATCTAAAGCCAGTGCTTTATCTTTTTTCTAAACCTAACCAAGGAGTTTTTTGCCTCACAAAACTACGCAGTAGGAAAACACTCCTGTGGGACGTATTCAGAGGTAGGAACATACGACCTATGTTGTTGCATGGGCTGGAGGACTTATGCTCAACAATCTTAGGGGGAAAAAAAATTAAGAACTAAGTTTCTCTTCTTCCTACATACATTATGCAAATCTGAAAAATCATCAACTCCATCCCTGCTCCAACACAAATTTGTGCAGTTTATTTGCTAAATGCAGAAAGACCTTTGCTCATCTATAATGAGATTTCCTGTGGGCATGAAATGCTTTGGTTTTAAAGTATATGCACAGTGTAAAAACCTATTCTTAATCCCTTGCAAATGCCCAACCTGACCACACAGGTTTACCTGAATTAATGTAATCCCAGTCCACCATACAGGTTTGTGCACAATTCTCTAATTTGTTTATATCTACAAGTACTTCCTCAAGCAATTAGTAAAAGGAGTTATTACTCATAAAATACATCAACTACAAATGCTGTGATACATTGCATTGGTTAATTGCTGTGCAATTCTCTATGTATATGTATCTGTCCCTATCAAATAAACATGAAAATGAAACTGCTCATACACATCACTGAATATGATACTATATGTTGCTTTATGCAGATGATATGTTATTATATGCATCAAATGCTGATATCTTAACTCCCACTGCACTCACTATAATTAAGCGTTTTAGTACTTTGTCAAGATACAAAGCCAGCTATGTCTATAGTTCTGCAACCATGGCTGCTTTATTACTCACTCTGCTATCACAAAAACACAATCTCCTGGATTGCTTTATGGCACAAAACAGAGACAGTGTTGTGTTCTTTAAGTGCAAAAAAAAAAATCAGAGATCTGGTGACAGCAAATGGTGAACAGTAAAGGGTTGTGATTATTCCATATTGCTTCTGTGTGAATGTAAGAAAGTGCATATAGTATTTAGGGTGTTGCCAAGAGCTCTCTCAATATGAATAAAGGCTTTTAAGGAGAGAAACAAATCAGTTGTAAATACAGTAGACATTAACTCAATGAACCAAAGAAGAAACAGAGACATCCCTCTGTCTAGCCTTGAAATTAACGTGACGATGGCAGCTATTCGTTGTTGATACAGACACTAAAGGGGTGTTTATGTATTTGTTAAGGTCTAAGCTTTAAGTTCTGTCAAAACAAAGTAATGCTGTTTTAGAAACTGAGACAAAATCCCCCAAACTAAATTCCTGTGATGTAAAAATAGATTAATTGACTTGACTGTTTCCTTGAATGCACACTAAGTACTCTGCTGGCAGTAAAAGGAAAGACATATCGGAAAACTAGAAAAAAACTTGGGCTGTGTGTGCAAGTAAGTGTGTGAGTATGCATATGTATATGAATATGTATCTATATTTCATGACAAGCAGCTTTTTTTGATTAATGCTGATATTGATTTGTCATTTGTATTTAATGCCAGTCACAAAGGTAGTATAGCATATCATGACTGAAGTACTGTTCTCAATATCTTTACTTGTAAGTGTGTGCATGCATGCTTGTGAGTGTATTTTTTACCGGCAGACAGTGATATTTCCATGGTCTGAGTTCTGCGGTGCCGTGCCAGGTTTAAAGTTGGACACATTGAAGTACGAGAGTGTGTGGTCGATGAAGCCGTGCATGGTGCCAGTCTGACTGAACATGTACTGGTATACGAGGCGAGGAATGAAGTCTGATGTGAACGAGATGACAAAGGCCTCCACAGAGAAAGAGAGAGACAGAGAGAAAATGACACATTTTTGACATGAAAATTAATTTAAAAAAATGAATACACCATGAAACAATAGGCTTTATCTTGTTATACTTGTGATTTGTCATATCTCTTCCTTCCCTTTATGTAAAAGAGTTGAAGGAGTTCAAACCTTATTTTCAGAATTCAAAAGCACAGCTCCCATAAAATATTAATTTTAAAAATATTTCAGGAATGCATTGAAACATATTCATTTAGTAATATTAAGTAAGGTATGTAGAACTTATAAGATACATGCACAAAAGGGAAATTCTGCTCTAGGTATTCCACTGCTTTTAAGCTCCTGGGCAGCTTAAGCGCTTGTGTATGTGTCCAATGCCCCATAGCGCTAGAATAAATAAAAACTCCTGCTGCTTGTTTTTCTGAATCCTACACAAATCTCTTTAGTATTAAAAGTAAACGGAATAGGATTTGGTTAGCTGGCCAAGGACAAATCCCAAGTAGAACTTTCCTGACTCCACAAATACAAAAAACACCGTGACCTCTACAGATCAGCATGTTCAGGTGTTTCAGATGATTCTGGGATCTCATAGGGTCATCACGGATGACATCCCAGAGCAAACTGTGATTTTAACATCATCTTTACCATCTTAGTTAACCTCTGACCATAATTCCAGTCTGTGATGTTTGTGATTTAATAAACTCACCTTGTTTAGGTGGAGCCTTTGATCAGAATAGTCACTCTTATGACCCTTACTTATTACTTATTGGACTCACTTCTATAGTGAATTAATTGGTGAAAATAAACTATTCCCATTTTTCTCAGCCCCTTGGAATTCCCTCAAGGGACCCTGGGGGTCCCACAACCCCTGGTTGAGAACCACTGTTCTAATAGTTCAAAACTGCTAGCTTACCTGAGCTAATTAATAAAATCTAACAACCAAAATCTTTTCAGATGGAGGTTATTGAAGCAATATTTTAATCAGATGGGGGTCTGTGACCTAATGTGATTCAATTTAATTAAATTTTCCTTTACAAGAAAAAGGCTGAGAACCAAATGGATTTCAAATGGATTTCTTTGGCACTTTGAGCACCACAAGCTGAGTCCCTTTTAGTTCCATTATATTTGAGAGAAGACAGACATCTCTATGTTCAATATCTCCAACGCTCAGCAACTCACACCAAAACAATCTCGATTGATAAATAGCACTACATGTAAGATGGAAAATATGTATTCTTGATACTGGGGAGAATTGTCCCTTTAAAGTGCTTTCTGTAGAACCTCACATTAAGTAGAGTACCTACTGTCGAATACATGCATTTCTTGTGCATAAATGTGCCTTTCTCCCTAATTCAATTAACAGATGGTATAAAGCAGTACATTGCGCTAATACTTACATTTATGATGACTGAGAATTTTCCCATTCCACTCAGTATGTTGTACCATATACCTGTAGACAGAAGAGTAATAGAGAGACAAGGAGAGAGAATGGTTCAAGTGATTAGTTAGGACAAAATGTGTATTAAACAGTAAAAAAAAAGCCGGACAGCTGGTGGATTTGTTCTCAGAACTCTACATAAAGCATGCAATTCAAAAGCACAACTGCATTGTTGTTCTGCCCTTTGTGTGTGCAAAATTGTGTCCATGTTGTCACTCCCCAGCGTTTTCCCGACACTGCTCATTGGGAAGGAGCTGCTAGCTGTGGTGGTGGACGCAAAAACACGAAAACATGATACGCCCTATCTAGAGCCAGTGTTTGTCTTGTCCATTCTGAGGTACTGTAAAAACATGGCGGTGCAACAAGACGATCTTTGTACATGAGGACCTGCTCCCTATGTAGATATAAACTGCTCATTCTAAGGTAACAAAAACAGCAAGTCTTATTTTAAGGTGATAATACACTAAAGTAAATAAACTTATTAGGGGTGTAACGGTTTACAAAATTAACAGTTCGGTTTGATTGCGACTTGTGCTTCAGCTCATGTTTTGGCTGGGGGTCATGAATTTTACTGTGCTACAGGATTAGCTGCTAAGAAGCGTCTGTAGCTGTGTGGTGGCTCTGTGTGGTTTTATCCACAGCTCTGTCACCACAATCCTCAAAATTCACAATAAAACTAAAATGGCTCCAAACACCAGACCTGTCGGTTACCAGAGGCTCTTCTATTCCTGGTCTGGTAATGACCTTGTTAACCATCTTCCAACGAGCTAGCTTAGCGTAGCTGCCTCCCAGTATGTCTCACTGCAGTAGAATGTTCTGGTTTGGGGATGGGAGGGGCAGACAGCATGTTTCCTTGTTTATCTTAAACACAGTTTAGGTTGTATATTTTCTTTCCCAAATGTAATAGGATAGTTAAGTGTATTGTTCGGTCTGTAATGCATACCCAACCAAAAGCCTCGTACCTGTGGTTCAATACGAATAAATGCTTTGTTACACTCCTAATTCTTATTATATAATGTTCCATTTCTGCCAGCATATCCCCCTAAATCCTTCACACTGGACCTTAAAGTGACCACCAAAGTTATAACAATCCTTCTTGAGGGGGGGAAATTAATCTTTCTACAAAATTTCATGGCAATCCATCCAGTAGTTGCTGAGGAATTTCAACTAAAACCACAAATATCAACTTCATACCATCTTGAGAATGAGACCCCATGTCTCAATGAGATTACATTTTTATGTGAGGGTTAAATAAGACAAATGTTGGCTCTAGAGACAAAAAAACATGGGATCACCACAGTGATTAGGATTCAGCCTCTGGGTGCAACATAAATGTCTGTACATAAACACATGACAATCCACCAAAAGTTGTTGAGTTATTTTGGTCTGGACCACAGTGGTGAACAGACAGACGGACTTGACCCCACAACTGTGCTGCTAGCATGACATGCCGCTCTTCACGTTACCCAGATAAGTTCAAAGAGAAGGTCAGAACTGGAAGCATGATGTAACATGACTAAGCTAAACTTTCAAGTGGCGTCAGTTTGGTTTAGTGGAGAGTTTTGGTGTCCAATGATGTTTCAGATGCTCCTTTCCAAGGTTTTTTACTATATTCAATACATAATATTTTTAGGGTTTTTTTGGCATATAAATAACAGATGTATTGGTCATTAGCAGCTTCCATCCAATCCTGTGCTGTATTGACTGGTAAAATGTCGCATCTATAACCCATAACAAATCTTTCCACTGCCATTATTTGATATCTTATAGAACCCTCATTATATGGGAGAATGTGGTATTATGAGTCAGCTGCGCTCTTTTTTTGTCACACTAGCTTACCAATGTCTTTAGCACGTACGGCGACAGGCCTGCGTAGCTCCGTAACAAACTTCTTGGCATCCAGTCTGATCTCGATGACGTTGTTGAGCAGAGCGAAGAGCGGAGCAAGTGGGAATGAAGCCACGAACAGAGAGACGAAACCAAACTGGATTACTGGAGAAAAGAGATAAACAATCATCAAACATCCTACAGTAGGTGTAGTCTTATTGAACGTCAATGCTGTAAGATAAGTTTGAAAGTGAAAATGTATATGTCATAAATAGATGTTGTATAATTCAACAGATGAGACCATGGTGGGGATGTTGTACTAGCTTTTGAGTGCCTGGAATTGAAGGCCATGTCTGCTCCATGCCCTCCGTACACTTACACTGGCACACGAATGGATACAGTAAATTAGGAACATATGCACGAGATCAATAACAACACAACATGAACATCCTGTTTTGTTTTTGTTTGTTGTTTTGCATTTCTAACATTGTTTCTTATCATAATTATGCTGATGACATTCAAATGTACATATCTGTATCCAAAATGAGTGCGGACCCACAGCCTCCAGCTGCTGCTGGAGTCCTCACAAACACACAATTATCACTCATTAAAATTCCATTGAAAGAATTTCTGTAATTGGCTTTATGACTGACATAGAGATGAGCCAAGTAATAATTTTCCACTGCAAGGCATGCTTTAAACAAAGACTTTCTTCAAGTTTTTACTGCAGCATGATGGAGAAAAACAAATCACACGCTTGTGAGGTTCAAGTTTACGTCATAGTAGTATCATGTGTGTCTAGTACTGTCCTGCTGTAAACATTAGAATATGTTTATACCTCTGTGACTGCCTTGCAGCAGAGTTTTCAGACAGTGGCAAATCGATTATCACTTTATCCTTTCTCCATCTTTATTTCAAACCACATCCCAGTGAGGTTACCCTAAACTCAGGCCAACTTTGAAGGTTGATTGGTACTTCCAAAATTTTGTTAAAAGCAAATTTGTTAAAGAGACATATTGGATCCACCTGACAATGAAGTGGAGATCTGAAGTTCATTTTTAAGGTAACTCCAGGAGCATCAACACCTTATGTGAGAGTCATGTACCAGAAGTTGGATGTATTTATTTTAGGGCTGTCAAAATGCCTCAATTGAAAGTAACTGAATCCGCTTTTTTGCGCCTGGAACCTCCCGTCTACAATGGGCTTGAGACATGCCCTTGTTGAGGACTTGACTCAGATTAAACTGATCCTGTTTGATTCGGCGGTGGGAACCTCTTGTGACCGCATGCCTTTGCTGATGTCGTCCCCAGCAGGATTTGTAGCCCGGACCTTCCACATGGAAGACAAGTGCTCTAACCACTACACTAATTCATCGCAGAAAAAAAAATAACGCACTAAAAACATTAATACTGATTAATCCCGTTCTGTGGTGCTCTTTGACACGGTGCGTCATTGAAGGCCACAGTGGCTTTGTCACATGATGGAGGCAGACGAAAAGACGCTGCTTGATCCCATGAATGGAGCATTTACGTTTAAAAAACACTAAAATGGAACTGTTGATAGGGGCACCATTTTCTGCAGTTTCTACAATAAGGAATTTTTGTACCATCGGATTACTACGAGCCTGAAATATCACCTCACCACAAAGCATTTAGCAGCGAGCCTGGAGGTCTGAGCTAGCACAGCCTCTGATGCTAGCGCTAGCAGCCAGCCTCATCAAAGCACACTTGACCAAACGTTCAGACGCAAACTGAGTATGTCTACCTGACTAACTAGCTCCCTTGCAAAATGGATTGTCATGGACTGCAGACCAGTTTGGTAGAGGGCAGGGGGACAATTGTGTCCAAATTTCAGCAGCTTTACTACAACACATCTGCCAAAATTAATTTGAATTGAAATTTTTAAAATAATTTGACAGCAAAAATTGATGTATGTAATCAGTTTAAATTAAGCCCTAGTATATTTGTAATCACATTTATGTTATTTCTCGTACTTTGTCCATTATGGTTAAAATAGTAATACAAAATAATTATAATGTGAGAGAATTTTTTAATAATATACAATATTCTCCATGTTTAAAAAATGGTAAATATCATGGAAAGTACACTACAATCAACAGTGTTCATTTAAAGTAGCATAGTCAGGATTTTTTGTGGCATCATTGGGCGAAAATCGCTTAAAAACCTTTGAGAATGTTGTAAATCAAGTGGTCAATTTGAAAAATAGACTTCTGCACCTACTCTTCGCTGTTTTTAGGCTTTAGAAAATCTAGCATTCCTACTAGCTCTTTGTGTGCAAATGCGTGGATGTCCAGTGGGAGTGGCTTAGGACAGACAGTTGAGAGCTGCAGGAAATACCTGTTTTTTTTTTCAAATTCTGTATTTTTTGTTTGTTTGTTTTTTAACCTTTTCCAGAAAATAGCCTATTGCAGCTTTAAAAGCACTGATGGTAAAAAATTACTGCTTTTAAAAGCAAGGAGATCAATGGATGATTTACTGCTTGTGGTGTAGAGTTTTTCCTTTACTTGCCATAGATACTAGATTACAGTAGTTTCCACTGGGTGCATTTTCTACAGCAACAAAACCATTGAAATACGATATCTAAAAACATTTGCTGATGTCTGTTTTTCTGAAAAATGCAACATGGCAGACTGCATGCAGTGAATGGTGTTATGCTACAGGACGTCAGAATGCCCACAATAAGAAAGGTTTACTTAATTATAAATGCTTTGTAAGATTCAAGCTAACTTCCTGTGTTTCAAGCAACACCTCTGTACAAGGCTGCAGCTTTTTCTTGGAAAAGAACCACTTATACCATCCATTTCTGCTGTTTGCCAGCATAAGAGAGCCTGACATGTGAGACAGGAATTCACAACATTGGAAACACAAATTTTAAGCTGCCACTAAGACGCTAACAGATTGACGTTTGTGAATGGTCATTTGTCTGGTCAGGAGTCACACTGTCTGTTCAGGCTCGCTCAGTGGTTCAAATGATGCCTTTTAAGGTTAAACACTCCACTGCACCAGCTAAACTGGGACTTTTTATGATTAGGAAATGTGTGGAACTATGTGTGTGTTATGTAAGTCAGTCTGATTAGATAAGCCAGAGACACAACATTCATGACTGATAATTAAAAGTAAAGTTGACAGGAATTTATTGTAGAGAACATCAAAATCACACACGCAAATGCTGGGTATTAGTATTAAAGGGCTGTTGGCAGCAGCTTCTTTACTCACAACCGGCACCTTAAATAGCAGTTCAATAATCAGAACCGGGGTGCCTTAAAGATTTGTCTAGGCTTGCCACACCAGCTTCCCTTTGACCACAGAACGGTTCGACATAAGCTGCAGTAAGGCTGCTCTGGAACTAGTAGTTTTTGTCTGAGGACACTAGACATGGGCAAAGTATGAGACAATGGGCGCCTGGGCACAGAAATGCAAAAGGCCCCACCACCTTTCTAAAACAGCAGTGAGACGCACAAACTTTGCGGTGGGTCTGCCTCTCTTTTATAGTTTTTTCAGCTCTCTGTAGTCTTTATGTATCTTTGTGGTCCTGTCTCTTTGAAGTTGTTTTGTGTATCCTCATTTGTGTCTCTTTGTAGTGATTTTGTGTCTTCTTTGGTCATTTTGTGTCTCTTTGGGGTCATTTTGCATCTCTTTGATGTCGTTTTGTGTCACTTTGGGGTTGTTTTGTGTCTCTTTGTGGTCATTTTGTGTCTTTCTGTAATCATTTTATTTCTCTTCGTGGTGGTTTTGTGTCTCTGTAGTCATTTTGTGTCTCTTTGTGGTCATTTTGTGTCTTTTTGTAATCATTTTGTTTCTCTTTGTGATGGTTTTGTGTCTCTCTGTAGTCATTCTGTGTCTCTTTGAGGTTGCTTTGTGTCTCTTTGTGGTCATTTTGTGTCTCTCTGTAGTCATTTTGTGTCTCTTTGAGGTTGTTTTGCATCTCTTTGTGGTCATTTTGTGTCTCTTTGAAGTTGTTTTGTGGCTCTCTGTAGTCATGTTATGTCTTTTTTGGTCATTATGTGTCCTTGTAGTCATACTGTGTCTCTTTGAGGTCATTCTGTGTCTTTTTGTAGTTATTTTGTGTTTCACTGAAGTTTTTTTGTGTTTTTATGTCATCATTTTGTATGTCTTTGAGTTTGTTTTGTTGCCCTTTTTTGTAGCTATTTTGTATCTCTTTGCAATTCCTTATCTGTCATTTAGAGTATGGAACTGGCTGGTACGTGTTAATTTGAGTGACATTTCAAGGGGAGGGCCAATGGGGCCCCTAACGCCTTGGGCCGCTGGGCCTGTGCCTGGTAGGCCCATTTAGTAATCCATCCATGACTCTACAGAGGTAGGTGATAGCAAACACAGAAAGTCTGGTTAAAAACGTATCCCTCGACCCACTACGCTGGTTGGTGTATACAGAAACAGGGCTGATCCCAGGCTTGTGGGCAAGTTTAAAGACATAACCTTTATCACATTATTGCTGCTACAAACTTTAAACAAATGACCAAAACAGCATCCACCTGCTTCCTAAGAATGTGGAGAGGAAACATGAGAAAGACAAGGCAGTTTGCCTGACTCTGGCTCATGTATGTCTCTGATCGCAGCAGTGGAACTTAAGCAGTGTGGGAACGGGGATTTCCAGTGAGCGGTAGACTGACGGCTTAACCTCCGGACGCCACGCGGAGACAAAGAGCGGAGAGGAAGAAAATACGACAGTGGAGCAGCGAGCGCTAGAGGGCAAGCTTAGAATAACCTCGCTATCTACCTGAGCCGAGGTTGACGGGTTCAAGGTTGGCCCAGGCACACACAGAGAAGACACATACACCTTGACACGAGCACCAGGTCTCACAGACGAATGCATCAATACAACACACAGTTACAGACAAGCACACACACAAATAATAAATGAGTTAACACAACCCCAGAACTACCCATTCATACATCTAACAGCTATGTGTGAGTGTATGCTTGCACGTAGAGCTCAGACATTTCTGACATTCCTTGCTGTGCCCTGCAGGGACATCAGCTCGCTCTTCTTTTTTTCTCTCCCTCAACCCTCGTCTCTGTCCTCACTCCATATCACATAAAATCTACACATCATCACAATACCATCTAGATTATTCTGAACTCTGGAGGATGTTAACACAGGTCTTGATTCCACCAAACAAAACA